AAAATTAATTAGTAGGACCAATATTTTTTGATAATATTTTTATCTTTAGGAAATTAATATAATACAATGTTGAACATGACAAACATTAATCATTTAATTGTATACAATCTACCTCAAAGAAGCTAATACAAACAATATGTCGTTTTCATATTTGAAAGACTTCAGTATAAAATTTGATAGGTACCTTTAATTTAGGCCAAAAAGAATATTAAAAAAATTAAGCTTCTCAATTAACCCTCACCCACCCCCCAAATAAAAAAGATTATAAGTAAAAAAAAAAAATGTTAAAGCTTAAATATTCCATGAGATTTATACAGCAACAAAGCTTAATTTCAATAAAATTGGGATTGATAACATGATTTTTTATGAATGGTACTGTAAGAATTCAATACGAAATTGACTAATTCAACGTTGGTTAGCAATTTTACACATTTTTTCTTTATTTAAATTTCGGATGGATAATATAAGCATGCTTGCACAAGTGAAATTAAATTTCTCATAAATTTTATCAAGTTATCGATTAAATCATTAAGAAAATTAAGAAAAAAAACTATTTCATATATATATATATATATTTTGCAGGTTTCAATAGATTATCTAGTTATGTTCTAGTTCTCCACTATTATCCACAATATGGAGTGGGGACTGTCTATTTTCTTCCCTAAGTTTCACTTCGATTTCACTTGCTTCGTAACTTTTATTCCAATTAGAAATAAGTAAAAGTCCAAGCTTGCAAAGTATTAAGGTTTCGAATATTGTTAGGACAAAAAATTTGAAAAGTCAGGACAATTCAAATTTCACATCTTTATATATCTTGTAGATCGTAGTATCACAATTTCTTTTCATATTTTATTATAACATTCAAAAATATAAGTTGACAGTGAACATCAATTAAATATTGTGAAATAACTCATATCAAATAATAACATATTTAGTGAAAAGTGAAGTTTGAAGAGATTAAAGTGTTATACAGATCTTATTACAACCTCATTATTTCCGATAAACTCATATCTTAATAGTTCATTATCAGTTTAACATATTTATAAAGTAGTATTAATAAATCAAATCAAATTGACCAATACACAACCCTACCAAACACCTTTCATAACTATAAGGGATCGTTTGGTACAAAGATCAATAATGCAGGGATTAATAATGCAGGGTTTGGTAATGCAGGGATTATTTTTATCAAGTGTTTGGTTCATTGTTTCTTACCTAATTTTTGTGTGTGGTTTAAATGTTTACAAATTTTTTTTTTCCAATCATACCCTATAATTATTATGAAATTTTTTATTTCATGTAATTAAGTCAAGCTAAATAATTAACGGAGAGTATTATTTCTTGTAATATTTTTAACTAGCTAAGAGAATAAAATTTTTATTGTCATCTTCACTATTTTCTCCTTAAATCATTTGAGAGTAAATAATTTTTATTTTAATAAATTGGAATTAATATCTCAAAAGGTCACACAACTATAATGATTTATAGTGAAAATTTATTGAACTTTGTTTTGTATCAATAAATTTTTTTAAAAAACTCCTTATCATAAAATAAAATAAATAAAAATATAAAATAAATGTAGCAAAATAAATTAAACTATTCTTATACTCTAGATGTGTGTGTGTGTATGTGTGTATATATATATATATATATATATGCTCTTATTTTAGATTACTTGTTAATATTTAATGAACTTTCGTTAAGAGACAATATTTTGCTTATGAATTGTTCTTAAATTCATACATCAACATTATCATATTAGTCAGATTATAGTATTTTATGTTAATAATAAATAGATTAAATAACTCATATTTTAGAAACAAAAAATTGTATCTAAATAATAAAACTTATAAGCTAATTTATTTAAATAAATTTATTAGTATAAATATAAAATACAAAATAAAAAATAAAATATTAAAAAAATTTGAGGGGGTATTTTAGTCCTTACCTAGAATAATCCCATAGTATTAGAGCTGATACCACCAAATGGAAGGTATTAGTTATACACCCTCTAATACCATGTAGGGTGCATAACTAATCCCTAGATTAATAATATATAGATCCAAAGTTCCTATCAAACATAGTATTAAATAATACTACATATAATATTTGAACTATTTCTCCAATACTCCCTACTAATCGACCCCTAAGTGTTTCGTAATGTTAAGATTTTTTATTTTCTTTTGCAAATATAGGCTATACTACAAAATGTGAAGGCCTAGAGGCAAAGCCCATGTGATGGAGTAAGGGAGAATGAATGTGATCCATCGATTATTAGTTTTAGTGGTCCATCCTTAGCCCATTCAATGAATAATACTTAACATTTCTTTGGTTTTGGCAGACATTCTTCTAACTAGATTGTGGTGGATTGTTTTTCTAAACTTATTTTATTTATAAAAAAATAAAAGTTTTTAAAAATATTTTTTAATATAACTTGATGATTTTATATCCATCCTTCCTCTTCAACTGATAAAAAAACAAGTGATGGGCAAAGGGTAATGGCAACCAAGCACTTTGCTTCTTGTCTTTCTCACAACTCTTATACATCTACTGATGACACAACTTGCAAAAAAAAAAAAGAAGAGCAAAAGTCTACTCAATTCTATATTGCCTTGTTTCAAGTATTTCATATGTATCGATAACGGTCGTACTGAAGTGGTAAGTATTCTTTTATCCTTAATCAAGAAGTCTCGCGTTCAAGACACTTTGGTTACGGAGTAACACTTTATCCCCAATGTAAAATTTTCTTACAGAAATCTAAATTTAATCAAGCTCCAATATAAATATCGAACACCAAATGAGAAATATCAACAAATATTATATAGACTAACTGATTGTGATTAGTGTTAGGTATGTTTCCTTCGTTCAATTTAATTCTTATGTTTTATAGAAGTTTCTTAGTTTTGCCAAAAAAAAAATTAAAACATATAGTGGAGTTCTAGTACTTTTATTTTCATTTTGAAATAACATTAGAATAGAATAACATAATCATGAGAAATTAACTTTCATAACTCAAACACAAAATGGCCAGAAAAAACATCAAACTCCACAAAAACATGCATGTTATTCAACTAAATAATATAATAAACATATGCCTAAAAAATTATTAAAACTCTCTCTTTCTAAACACTAATACAAATCCAGAATATACTACAAAAATTATGTCGCATAACTTAATTCACACGTAACTTATGTTGAACAAAACAAAGTTCAGTTTTAGAAGATAGTAAACTCTATAAATGTTAAAAAAAATTTTGTTACACGAAGAAAATATGTATAAATTAAAGTACTTTAATTCATAAACTCTGTAAATAAGCCATAGAAATAAAAAATAAATAGGGAAATTAAGCAAATATCTCATAAAAGCAAAATAATTACAAACATATATCTCTTTACATATATACCCACTATATAATTCATATATACTCCCCCCCACACACAAAATAAAATAATTTCACATAATTGATATCAAATCATTATCATATATTGTATTGATATCATTAAGGTTTCTTGTCAATGATACTACAAGAGTGTGTGTGTATGTATATATACATAAACACACACACACTCTCTTGTAGTATCATTGACAAGAAACCTTAATGATACCATATATATATATATATATATATATACACACACACACACATACTCTCTTATAGTATCATCGACTAATGCGTAATTTCTGAATAAGAAACCTTAATGATACCATAATAATATACATATACTCTTATAGTATCATTGGCCAACAAATAATATCTGAACAAGAAACTATATATGTATAAGTTAAGCAATTAATCGAAATTAGCAGCCTGATATCGATACGATATGTGATAATGATTTAGTACCAACTTAGCAAATTTATTAGCTTTAATGATACCAATATAGTTCATGATATCAATTTAGTATTAGTTAAGCAAAATTATAAGCCTTAATGATACCAATATAGTTATAATACTGATTTAGTATTAGTTAAGTGAAAATATCAGCCTTAATGAATGGGGTATGCACTGTAATTTTTTTTGACAGAATGAGTATTTTTATGAATTACTTTGGATTGCGGTATTTTGTGTTTTACGACCTATTTGTAAAGTTTATGTGGATAAAAAATTAAAGGGAAAATTATATATAATAGAAAATTATTAATCCAGATTAAGTGTACTAATCATAGTTTGATTTAATCATACCCCTTAGCAAACTGTTGCTGTTTTGCCTCTCATACTGGTGAATCTCACTGGGGAGTCTCCCTCGCCTTTATACAAACATAAATGTTTAAAATGTGTATGTGTTTGTATTAAACCAGAGAAAATTGTATATATATACATATATTTTCGCTTCCCTCTATCCCTTCTCCTAATCTCGCTCGCCACTCTCACTTTATACAAACACAAATGTATACATTGCTTTTGTATTTATATAAAGCGAGAAATTGTATATACAAATACATATATTTTTGTCCTTTATACTTGTGATTATACAAATATGATCTTTCCCTGCCCAAGTTTCTTTTGTCTTTATCTCTTTCTCGCTTTATAAAAACACAAATTACACAATTGATTTTTTTTGTATATGTATATCGAAACAAATTATACAATTGTTTCTTTTGTATATGTATAACAAAATATACATATTAATAGCCATATCAAACATAAAGTATGCTATGGAGCGCAATTATGCAAACTATAACAATAACATACAAATATCATTTTTATGTTTGCTATAGGGGTGTCAAAAATTAACCCAAACATAGGTAACCCGCCCAAAATTTCAAGGATTGAGCTCAAGATAATTTTAATTGGGTTCAATCTCAACCCATTTGAAGAGAATTCTCAATTGAGCCTAATTGAATCTCCAATTTCAACTCGTTTTATATTTTTTTATTTAGATATGTTCATATATTGAAGGTATGAATTATTATCTATTCAACATCTTTTAGGATTTATCTATCCATTTGTTACTTTTTTAACAAAAAAATCTTGAGCGAAAATTCAAATTGTGATTATAAAAATTAAATGACAATATGTTAAATTATTGAGATTAATCCGGTCAAATTGGGCGGGTCAAAACCCAACCCATTTTTAGCCCATTTGAGCCCAAAGTAAACTTGGGCGGGTCAAGACCCAACCCGATTTCTATTCAGCCTATTAAACTATTTCCAATTTCAACCCAATCCACGCATTTGGCACCCCTAGTTTGCTATATGTGAAAGTTTCTCAAAATTAAACACCAATCAATTTTACGATCAATCCATGCAAAAACTTCACGAAGGAACGACATTGGGCCTTCTTTTCTCCCTCAGCCCCAATTAAAACTGGGCCATTATATTATAAGTTATGTCTCACAATTACTGGGCCGTAAAGCCCATTAGAAGTTTCTGGACTATTCCCTAACCCAGAACCCGGGAAAACAATACGGGTCCCATGTTCCCTGCTCCGCAAGACAGCAAGAACCTTGGAGAAGGGGCCAAATTTTCAAACGCAAACCTTTATATAATTCTCCAAATTCCAAAACCTCGAAGAATTAACAAAATTCTAACTACTGTAAAACCCTAGATTCCATTCAAATCGAACCCAAAAAGGTGAATCGAAGAAGAAAAAACAAACAGTTTTGATCTTCAATGGGGTTTTTCAGAAGCACATTTTCGTTTGCTATGGGTACGGGTTTGGGTATCTACTTGGCCCAAAACTACAACGTTCCCAATATCCAGAAACTCGTCAACACTGGAGTTGTAATCGCGAAGCATTTTGAAGAGAATTATCGCAAACCTAAGAAGACAGATGATGATAATTAGTACCGGATTGTTACGGCGTCGTTTGATCAGGTGCTTAGTGTTTGAATTTTTAACTATTGTGTAATCATGGGGGTGAGGTGGGTGGGGAAGGGGTTAGCAAATTAGAATTTTTTTTCTGGGAGGGTGAGTTTTGGGAATTTGAGGAAGTATACTGAATTTTGTCAATGTTTTTATCTCATACGATTGATCAATGAAATGATATTTTTCTTCAGTTGTTTTGATTTGATTGATATTCCTTTTATTATTATCTCGTTGGGTGGGGAAACAAAGGAAAAATTATGTCTTTTTTACTTTTGTATATATGTGCATGCAAAAGTAATATAGGAATGAAATAGAGCTGAATTTTGTAGTGAATACGGATTTATATAGTTAAATTTGGAATTGAGGCATAGTTGATTGATAGAATAAACTTTGGATGGAAACTTAGAGTGAATAATGAAGGCAATAGTTAGGAGATCTATGAAATATGAGAATTTGGTGAATTTCGATGAGCCTATATCTCATATGTTGGCTGTCAAATATCAGAATATACTGAGATGAACGCGATTTGTGAAAGGTATAAATGATTGTAGGGATAAGACCAGCTTATGGAATTGCTAGATGGGATTAAATGCAGTAAATTCTCTTATGGATGTCTTTTTCTTCTTCTTTAAAAATTGGTGGGATTTGCTCTTTATTAATCACAGTGTATGCATTATTTCACCATCAGCTAGCCCAAGTTTATTACATGATAACAGAACGGAACACTAAAAAGATGCGTGTAGAAAGCAAACCTCTATTCCACTAATAGGGAGGTCTGGTTCTAAAGCCCGTTCTTTTAACAAGTTGAGTATGGCGTTTTTGTGATTGACATATTTCAATAGTTTTGCGAGTCTCTGACTGAATCATTTTCTTGTCGATATGATGACTTCCAAGACTGTACAACCAAAAACGGAATCGAAGTACTTGCAACTTGTGTTAGCACTGATCTGCGGAACTTCATCTGGTTATGAGTATTTCAAATTGTATTTTTCTTGGCAAATGGTGACTAGATTTTTCTCTAAGTTTATATCCTGTTGATATACTAAAATTATTGCTGACAACAAAGAAATCTCATTATTGATTGATACCTCTAATCTTCTATATCAACATAAAAGTGCAAGAGGATAGAATGAATTTAATGATTTATCGCAGTAAGTGATAATTAAGTCATGCAGAAGTGTTCATAATCTTTCAGTTCCTTTATTCACATTCAGATATCTGTTATGAGCATCAAGTTTTCAGGATTTACTTATCCAACTTTTTCTTCAGTGGAGATTAAGCAGAAAATTATGCAGCAAAATCCACAACAGGTATTTCAGATATGCAATCTGTCCACCAAGAAAGAAGCGTTAGTTAAACAACTTATCTGATGAAACAGTGAAGGAAACAGATTAATAACTTATCTGGAAATGTTTGTCCTTCTGCAGTATGCTGCGGTTCAGCAATGATCCTAGCTGGCAGTGTTTTATGCTACTTGTGATATTGAAGCATTTGAAAATATTAAGATTGATTGAAAATGCTTCATTAGTATCCATGTCATCAAGTATTAAACTTACCGTTAATGTTTGATTGTATGATTTTCTGGTAAAAAGCGAACATTTGTGTGCAGCCAATAGTTGATATTATGAAGGGGTGAGTGTAACTTAAGCTTAACTTGCTTTTTCAAAGAACTAATTGGTGTCAGGTAGTTTGGAAAACTTATTGATCCTTTTGTTGAAAAATTGCAAAATTAGTACTTAAAATGATTCTCAGCTTTGATTTAGGCATTGCCATCTTCTTATTAACTGTCCATATGTGAACTAGTTTTACCATGAGAGAGAAGAGCTTGGTGATGCAAACCTTGCTTAAAGCTTCAATTCCTATTGGTCATGACTACAGACTCCTGAGAGTTTCTGCACTCAGTTTGTGAGATCCCGTCTGGATTGGAGCAGATTTAAAGAAGTTTTGAGGACTCTTCCTTTCCACATATATCAATTAAGATATCCAGGGTGCTCAGAAGGTGTGTTTCTTGACATGGTTGGCAGCTGGGAGCGATTTTGACTGCTGAAACTTGATGAAGAGGAGTATAACACATACCAGTTGGTATTTTATGTGTACGAGCTCGGGTGTGGACCCACCTCCTTTTATATTGTCATTATCTTGCTTGTTCTTTTGATTGAACACCTTTAGATGTTTCGGACTCCAATGGGTGGTGCACACACCTTGAGGGAAGCCTGTTCAGCTGAACATTTAGAAGAATGGAGTAACCAGAAGGTATGGGAATTGGGATCCACTCCATTAGCACCCATTTATTGTATCGAAAAAGAGAAACAGGATAGCTTTTGAAGGAACAGAAAATGATTTTGTACTGAGGAACAACAACCTCTAGTCAGATTCTTTCTTTTTTTGGTGCACCCATAAGATTCCAATATGTATGGAGATTGGGTGTCTATTATCGCTACATAGGTTGTGACTTGTGTACATCTTGGGATACCACTTGTATACCAGAGTTCTCATCCCATTATAAATAAATTAGTTTACCTTATCAAAAATAAAAACATTGTTGGAACAGTGATACCAATCCTTAATCAGGAAGAGATGGAAAATTATCCCAGCTTGCATTGGTGGACTCTGTGGGGAGAAAGAAATCAAGTTGTTTTGAAGACAGCCATTAGTATACAGAAACTAAAGATGAAATGTTTAGGGCTTTTCTTTTTTTGGTGTAAACATAGTTTAATGGAGGAGTTAGAATCAGTTTAGGATCTACTCCATTCTTTATGAGAAGATTAAGGTGTAGGAGCTTATTTTTTTTGCTCATCTGGATGTAAATATGGGGGACTATATACCTTTCGTGTAGTTGTTATTAATCAATACACAAAATTGTTGCATGTTCAAAAAAATAACAACACTGCTAAAGGAATTCTGTCCTTATTTACTAATAACCTTCTCTATGTTGATGCAAATGAGTCCCTATGTGGCACTAGCAGGCTAGATCGTGGAGCAATCTGTTTGGATTTGATGTCTTGTCTCTCTTCTTATGCGCTAATAGTGATACCAATATTGTTTTACTGGTCATACTAATGTCGAATTCTTCGGGTTCTTGCTTGGTTTGGTGGATTCTTCCTTCGAGTGGTCTCAAGGATATGATTGGGTATTTTAGCTTTGACTCAATGGTGCAAGTTGTCCTAACAGAATGATTGTTTTGCTAATTGTCTCTGTTTTGGGAAAGATGCGGAGCATGCTCCTCCCTCTTTTGTATTGTAATAGGCACTGAATATTTTCTTTTCGTGTCTCCAAGCCTTCTTTGAACTGTTGTTCTTATGTAATTCTCAATTACCTGCAATTTCTTCTTTAAAAGTGTGTCGAGTGTGGTTCTTTGCTATTCCAGATGCTTATGTTCTTCGATGATCTAACTGATGGGACCTCTTGGTTTCGGAAACTTGATAAATATTTAATTATATGCACGTTGATAGCCGCCGAGTGCTCCTCTATATTCGGTAATATCTCTATTTTTCTTCTCTGCTTCTGTTTTCTTTTGTTTATCACACATGCCTACTTGATTTTGTTTGTAGGGTGGAGGGATAGATAATAAAAGAAAAATTAGATTAGGAGAGGGCGGCGTCCAGTTATGCGCTGCTGAGTCTGTTGTTTCTTGGTCTTTTGGTGCTTGCACTGTGATGTGGATCTTCAGCTTTGAGGAAAAGGGATGTTCTTTGCATCTTCAGTGATTTCCGGGGTATGGTTTGGAATATTCCAACTTCGCACTTGACAGGGAAATTGGTTGGTAGTTATTTCAGATAGGAGGATAAGTTTAACCTTAAACTAAATTGTTGTTTAGCAAACACTTTATCTTCATCGTCAAACTCTTGCCTCACAGGTAATAGTTATAAACTCATAATGATTAAAATTCTTACTGCTTTCTCCAAGTCAGTCTTTTGTATTCATTAGGATACAGAAAATCTCTTGAAGGGTTGGAAAATATTTTTGTTTCATTAGGATAATTTTCAAGTTTTTGTGGTGATGTTTTTGAATTTTGAGCAAGTATGATGTGCCAATTACATAGATGACTGCATGCCTTTTTGTAAAGTCATGTATCAGGAGGCTAACCTCTCTAGATGCTCACGTTGTGTACCATGTATACAGGAGTATTACCTTGCAGGCTTACACAAATAAACAGAATTTGGCAATGAAATAACTGAACTATTTTCAAAAAAACTAACTGAACTATTGTAGGTCATTATCAATCATGATCATCACTGCAGATTTTGACACTGTGGATTGAGTTGGAACATTTCTACGTTATTTTCATAGGGAAATTTGTGATGAAGTTATCATTTAGAGAACAAACTAGAGTCTTGATGTGAAATAAATAAATTTCGGTTGTATGTTACATAAAAAAGAAAAACACAAATATGATACTATTGCAATAGAACTTAAGCAGCATCTTTTTTTCTTTCTCCACTTCCACACATTTGCTTCTTAGTCCACAGTTAGATACAAGTCAGATGAACTTTGGGAAGTTGGAGAACAGTTTGAGGGTAAGCTACTACTCCAGGAGAGGTTGTCTACCTCTATGTGAGCGCAATGATCAATTTTCCCGATTGATCTGGTGCTGAACTTGGAAGTGTCTGTGGACGAAGAATATGCAGAGTTGCAGGTTTGTTTTCTTGCATCATGTTATTTCATGTAAACCACTTCTCTAAATATGGTACTACTGCAACAGAACTTAGCATGCCTTTTTTAATCAAAGATTTTGTTTGGATGATTGTTATCCATCTTATTGTATTGTGTTGTGTTGTTAGTTTTTACATTTTTTCTTCAACTTTATTGTGTTGTATCGTAAAATCCATCGTTATGTAATGACCAGAAGTCTCATTTTATGGAAGGACCGATTTGGTGTGATCGCGTCGTTACCTTCTTTTTTTCTCCCCTCATTTTGTCTTTACTTATTATCTGATAATCCCTTGTACTAGATCTTGTAGGCTAATCCTCAAATTGCAGATGTATGACATTAAGTAGTGACGAGAAACTTCACAATCTACCAAATGTTGTATTCATCAAAAGAATACAACAGACTACAACATAGTGCAATACATTATGAAACAATATGTAACAACCATCCAAACAAGATGTCAGGCCTTTGCTTCTCAATCCACTGCTAGATACAAGCCAAACGAAATTTGGGAAGTTGGAGTAGAATTTGAGGTTGAACTACTACTGCAGGAGAGGAGGTCTCCTTCTTTGCTAAGTGTACATCTATGATCAATTTTCGCCAATTGATCTGGTATTGAAAGTGCCTGTGAACGAAGAATTTCCAGAATATTCTCTGCTTTACCGAGAAGTAAGATGGCAGAAAGGACACCTTTTTATCTCTCCTTAATGGTGCCATTGCGTAAATCTTTGTAGGTTAGTAAGACAAGCACCTGTTATGTCAGTGATCATGGTTGGCAATGACATGATTTTGCTGTTCTCAACTCTATGCTATCAGAACTCACCAAAAGAGTTCAACAGACTCTGTACATACAGTTGGCTGCCAACATATTGATAGGCCATTTTGAAGGTGATCCCTTTGGACAAACAGTCAAATCTTTCTTTCTGAATTCAATGCATCTCTGCTTTGCCTTCTCAGAGAGACCTTCAAGCATGTCTTTTGGATTTTTTCCTGCAGTAGTTGTCTTCCGGAGATCAACATCCAGCCACTTGTAACATAGATCAACATCTAACCACACTAACTCTGCTGCCCGCCTGATACTTGCGAGGTCTTTTCTTGCATCCAGGTTATTTTCCATTACTTTGATGTACATGAGACCTTCATTCACACACCTGATGAGTTCCTTGATTGAATGGAAGTTGATGTTTTGAAGTGCAACTACTATGCTTGTTAGTCACTACTGGGAGAGCCCAGCAATTAGGAGGATCTTCCGAGTTAGGTGAAGGAATGTGAGCACTATCGAATTCGTGTACTCCTCTGAATCCAGCTGATGGTTTCAGTTTCTCCAGAAGTCGTTGAAGATGTTTATGCTGTTTCTTTTTCCCTATAATAATCAAATGATCTACCAGATTACTGTTGCTTTGCATCATCAGATCAATTAATGCTTCCTCTCCTTCAAGGAGTTATTATTTATAGAACAAGCTAGAGTTTTGATGTGAAACAAATAAATTTCAGTTGTATAGTACAAAACATAAAAATAAACAAATATGATACTATTACAATAGAACTTAAGCAGCATCTAAATTCTTTTTCCACTTTCAGGCATTTGCTTCTTAGTCCTCAGTTAGATATAATTTATAAGTCAGATGAACTTTGGGAAGTTGCAGAAAAATTTGAGGGTGAGCTACTACTGCAGGAGAGGTAATCTACCTCTTTGCTATGTGAGCGCCAATGATCAATATTTCCCAATTGATCTGGTGCTGAACTTGGAAGTGGCTGTGACCGAAGAATATGCAGAAAACTCTCTGCTTTCCCCAGAAGCAAGATGGCAGAGCGGACACCTGCTGCTCTCTCTTCAATGGTGCCATGGTGGCATTGCATGGATATAACTCTATCAAGGTTGGTAAGACAAGCACTTGTTATATCCGCAATCATGGTTGACAATCTGTCAAACATGGTTTTGCTGTTCTCAAATGCTTTGCTATCAGAACTTTGCAGAAGAGTTTGACATACTCTGTACATACAGTTTGTTGCCAACATATTGGTAGGCCATTTTGAAGGTGAATCCTTCAAACAAGCATTTGGATCGTTCTTTCTGAATTCGACGAATCTCTGCTTTGCTTTCTCAGCGAGTCCTTCAAGCACGCCTTTTGGATTCTGTCCTTCAGTGGCAGCTTTGCGGAGATCGACGTCCAGCCACTTGTAACATAAGTCAACTTCTACCCACACTAACTCTGCCGCCTTCCTGATGTATACTAGGTCTTTTCTGCTATCCAGGTTCTCTTCAACAAGTTTGATGTACATGAGACCTTCATACACACTCCTTATTAATTCCTTGATTAAGTGGAAATCAATGTCTGGAAGTGCAATTGCAATGCTTGTCAGTGTCACTATAGGAAGAGCCCAGCAATTAGGAGGTTCTTCCGAGTCTAAAGAAGGAATTTTAGCATGGTCGAATTCGTGCACTCCCCTGAATCCAGGTGATGACTTCACTTTCTCCAAAAATTGTATTAGATGTTTAGGCTGGTCCTTTTTCCCCATCCCTATCCATTTATCTACCACATCACAGTTGCTTTGCATCATCAAATCAATTAATACTTCCTCTCCTTCTAGGTGTAAAACATAATGGCTAAGATCTGACATTAGACTAGCTTGTGACTCTATATCATGACTAGACACCACATTTTTGCATTTCAGCATCCCGGTTACTTTTTGGCAGCTTATCAGTAACCAACTCACAGAGAAAGTGGAAATGATCCGAACCATCTTACTGAGTGACACCATCAGAATTTGCATCCAAATGCAGAAATCGAGAAGTTTGTTCTTTGTTTTATGAGCGAATTTTCTACCATGCCGGCCACAAATTCTGAAATCCAACGGGCATTCTTTCCACTTAAGTAGTATATTGATCCAGTAGTTCTCCACTTTGAACAACATGAGTTTGCAGGCATTATTTGTTTTTACGGGGCAGTGGAAATTTATGGCTATGAACCATCTAAAAGCTGGTGCAATAGTTCCTACTCCTATTGCCACTGTGTGAGTTACAAGAATCAAGGTTGTGGACCACTTGTATTCAGATTCTCCACGACAAAAGCTGAAGCTCGAATGGAGAAAGTAAGACCTAAGCATGGCTTGAGCATAAATTACTGTGCTCAGAAGGCAGAAACCTCCAGAGGCAGTGCATGTTGCTAAGCGACCCGCGACGAAGAGGGGGTTAGAGGTATAGGCCATGGTCCATAATCTCATCAGTTCGTCCTTCAGTTTCTGAGTTTTGCATGTATAACTGATGTTGCATTCTTTGTTTGCTAACTTGTACCTCTTATTATATTTCAGGTCCAAATAACACTTTGTAGTTGGTATTGTCAAGGCTGAGGAGATCAGTAACAGAAGCAAAATAAGCATGAGAAACATGATAGCTATATGCTCTTTGCTGAAAACATAGATAACACCAGTAGCTAATTGTATGCCAATGTTCACGATGGCCGTGATGACGAAAATCCCCAAAGCCATTATGTTCATCAACAGGTCTGTATTATCCATGAGACCTAAAGAAGGCAAAAAATTAGCAGTTACCGTACAGATTAGAGCAGCACTGCTAAGTTTTGTCAGCTGATCTTGTTGGCGAGGCATGGATGTATTTAAATCAACAGACAACTTGGTGGCAACAGCTAGAAGCGTCAAGGTTGTAGCGTTAAGAGAGAAGAAGTTGCAAGGAAACCATAATTTTCTGCGGCGCAGGCCATGAAGGACATCAATCGCCATGGCCAGTGCACAAACTGCAGATGCTGCTGCAACATAGACTCCGATCCAAGGGATCGGATCGCTGAATTTCGAGTCATCTAGGTTGCCATCTATGGTGCAACCAATCTTTCCCATCTCGTCTCAAAGCTGAAATCTGTCTATGGTGGAGTATTTTGAGAATTTCTTGGGGGTGTATCTACTCTGGATTTTTTGCTGCAATCGTATCTATTTGTTTCTTTGACTCTCTTTCAAGCTATTTCCAGTTTTTCCAAGATTTGCTCTTTCTGGTAACATCTTCACTGGAATTTGTCCATTAACTTGATTTTGTCATGGATGATTTCACTTATTGAATGATGTTAGAGAAATCAACAACATTATTATTTATTTGAAATTCAGTGAGTTATAATTGGCTTTGATTGTTGGAGGGGTCCCTCTGATGTGTTTAATATTAAAGTCAAGCACACATGTCTAGAATTTTTCAAAACCTCTCGGAGACAACCTCTCTGTTCCACCAAGATAGAGGTAAGGTTTGTGTACACTCGACATATACTAATGTGTTATTTTCATTGTTATTATCTGACGCCCACCCCTATGTAAGGGGTGGGTGGGATGGTGGGTCCAAGTAGTAGATAAGGGGTGGGTGGGATGGTGGGTCCAGGTAATAGACAAGATTGTCTGCTAGTCAAAGGTGGGACAATAGGTATAATACAGGTCATGCTGATTAGCTCATTTGATGTGTCCCAAATTAGTTAAAACTCTTGAGTTGAATTTTCAATGTTTCCTTCTCTAATTACCCAGTGTAATACACAGTACCAACTTCTTAAAAAATAAAAAGAATATGAAAAGAACTAAGGTTTACTATTATTAGCTTGTGGTACCACTGGTCTTTCCCACAATAAAATGTAGTTTCAATATTTGTTATCCCCTTCACATAATTCAGTTCCTTATTTAGTTTTTTAAATAAAATAAGAAGGGGAAATCTTTCCACCCAACAAGGAAATGGGTTGACTTTTGAGTCTGCATCTTCTTCAATAGACTTTTCTTGTCTTTGACTCCAAAAGCACTGGAAATTGCACCTTTGAAAAAATTTAGATCAAATAGCCAACCATGGATGACTTTTCTTAGGGTTCTGTCATGTTGAATTGGTTCTTTATACTTTGAATTTTAAGATACTCAACTATTATTCACCTGGCTATATGTTAGTATATGACACCTAAAAATATAAAGCAGTCGTAGTTTGAATGTCTAAATGAAATTCACAAACAAGTTCAATTCTTTCTACTAAAATTCACTACTGTTCTCTCAGCTTCATAGGATTTTCGTATTAAAATTGGGATCTGCTTGGTAATGTTGATAGGGATCTCATAGAATTCATTATTAGGAATCTGAATGTAGATGTTGTGGGCATAGTATAAACTAAGTGGTTACTGAAGACAACATTCAGAAATGTACTAGTTGAGTAACACGTTTAAGCACGTTCTGGTGCTATTTAAATACAATGTTTTGTCCTTCAAATTGGTGATGTATAGCATAGTGTTACGAAGGGGAAGGATAATACAATCTCTCAGAACATTGTTACAAATGCAATATAATATGATACATTATAAAACAATATGTAAGGACTATCCAAGCAAGGTGGCATTTGTTTCTCAGTCCACATTTAGATACAAATCAGATGAACTTTGGGAAGTTGGAGTACAATTTGAGGTTGAACTACGACTGCAGGAGAGGTAGTCTTCCTCTTTGCTCAGTGTACACCAATGATCTATTTTTGACAATTGATCTGGTACTGAACTTGGAAGTGGCTGTGAACGAAGAATTTCCAGAATATTCTCTGCTTTTCCGAGAAGTAAGATGGCAGAACGGACACCTTTTGATCTCTCCGTAATGGTTCCATGGTGGCATTGCATAACTCTTTGTAGGTTGGTAAGACAAGCGCCTGTTATGTCCGTGATCATGGATGACAATTTATCAAACATGATTTTGCTGTTCTCAAACTCTATGCTATCAGAGCTTACCAAAAGAGTTTGACAGATTCTGTACATACTGTTGGCTGCCAACATATTGATAGGCCATTTTGAAGGTGATTCCTTTGGACAAACAGTCGAATCTTTCTTTCTGAATTCGATGAATCTCTGCTTTGCTTTCTCAGAGAGACTTTCAAGCATGTGTTTTGGATTTTGTCCTTCAGTGGCTATCTTCCGGAGATCCACATCCAGCCATTTGTAACATAGATCAACTTCTAACCACACTAATTCTGCTGCTCGCCTGATGTTTGCGAGGTCTTTTCTTGCATCCAGGTTATCTTCCACTACTTTGATGTACATGAGACCTTCATTCACACACTTGATGAGTTCCTTGATTGAATGAAAGTTGATATTTGGAAGTGCAATTGCTATGCTTGTTAGTGTCACTACAGGAAGAGCCCAACAATTGGGAGGATTTTCCGAGTTTAGTGAAGGAATGTGAGCACTGTCAAATTTATGCACTCCTCTGAATCCAGGTGATGATTTCAGTTTCTCCAGAAGTCGTAGAAGATGTTTAGGCTGCTTCTTTTTCCCTATCCCAATCCAATGATTTACCAGATCACTGTTGCTTTGCATCATCAAATCAATTAATGCTTCCTCTCCTTCAAGGTGTAAAGCATAGCAGCTAAGATCTGGTTTTGAACTGGTTTGGGACCCCAATTCTGTATCGAGGCTCGACATCATACTGTAGCATTTTAGCATCTTGATTGCTTTCCGGCAGTATATCAGTGACTGGCTTACAGAGAAAATGGAAACGAGCCGGACTAGCTTACTAAGTGACACCATCATAATTTGCACCAAAATACATAAATCAAGAAGTTTGTTCTTTGATTTATGAGCAAATTTTTTACCATGCCGTCCACAATATCTGAAATCCAATGGGCATTCTTTCCACTGAAGCAGGATACGGATCCAATAGTTCTCCACTTTGAACAACTTGAGTTTGCAGGCATTATTTGCTTTTTTGGGGCAGTTGAAATTTATGGCTCTGAACCATCTAAAAGCTGGTGCAATAGCTCCTACTCCTATTGCCACTGTGTGAGTTACAAGAATCAAGGTTGAGGACCACTTGTATTCAGAGTCTCCACTACAAAAGTTGAAGCTCTTATGGAGGATGTAAGACCTAAACATGGCATCGGCATAAATTCCAGTGCTCATAAGGCAAAAAACTCCAGAAGCAGTGCATGTTACTAAGCGCCCTCCCACGAAATGAGGGCAAGAGGTATAGGCCATGGTCCAAAATTTCATCAATTCGTACTTAAGTTTCTCAGCTGTGCATGTACCCATGATGTTGCATTCTTTGTTTGCTAACTTGTACTTCTTTTTATATTTCAGGTCCAAATAACGCTTTGTAGTTGGTATTGTCACAGCTGAGGATATCAGTAGTAGAAGCAAAACAAGCATGAGAAACATGAGGGCTATATGCTCTTTGAAGAAAACATAGATAACACCAGTAGCTAATTGTATGCCAATGTTCACGATGGCTGTTATAACGAAAATTCCTAAAGCCATTATGTTCATCAACAGCTCTTGATTCTCCATGAGACCTAAAGAAGGCATGAAATTAGCAATTACCGTACAGATTAGAGCAGCACTGCTAAGTTTTGTCAACTGATCTTGTTGACGAGGCATGGATGTATTTAGATCAACAGACAACTTGGTGGCAACAGCTAGTAGCGTCAAAGTTGTAGCATTGAGAGAGAAGAAGTTGCAAGGAAACCAGAATTTTCTGTAGCGCAGTCCATGAAAAGCATCCATTGCCATCCCCAGTGCACAAGCTGCAGAAGCTGCTGCTACATAGACACCAATCCATGGCATAGGCTGGCTGAATTCCGAATCATTCAAGTTTCCATCTATGGTGCAACCTATCCTTCCCATCGCGTTTCAATCTCTTCGCCTGTTATCTCTTGCTTAAAGCTGAAATCTTCGTCTATGGTAGAGTTCTATACTCCCTATTTGATATATTTCCTTCGAGTATTGTCTAGGTTGTTCTTTTTCGGTACAACCATATCTATTTGTTTCATTCATTATGTTTCAATCTATTTCCAAGATTTACTCTTTCTAATAAACATCTTCACTATCATTTGAGCTATTTACTTGCTTTGGTCATAAATGAATTCGTACGTTAAGGCTGTTTAAAATGTCAGCAAGACAAGATGTCAGGACTTTGACTTGAATTTTTTAGTGAAACATAGTGGGATGTGATAAGAATTTTTAAGGTTTTCGTTAAACGTCATCTCTGACTATTTCTCAGGTGGTTGCCAAGATTATCTGCTAAATTTTAAGGTTTTCTTTGAACCTCATCTCTGACTGTTTCTCAGGTGGTTGCCATGATTATCTGCTAGTCAAGGTAGACAATACTCAGAAAAATAAATTGTTGACTATGTTGATTAACTAAGTTGATAGGTCCAAAACTGACCAGTGTTTATGTACAAAATAATATTTATCTGGATTGTGTTTAGCTGTAGAATCTTACTGCATTACTGTCTCTTGTTTTCAAAGGTATTACAAAACAGAAGTTATTACTAGACTTTGAACTGTTATATTATTATCATTGGATTGTGGAAATTAGTGCCGGTCAAGTTCTCCCATCTCTAATTTTCTTTTTTTTTTTTCCCTTTTCTAAACCAATCCCAACCACCCCTACCAAAAAAAAAAAAAAGAATGTCCAGGGAAATGGGTTGACTTCTCGGTTCACGTCTTCGTTGATCTTCCGGAAACAGTCTCTCTGCCCCCACAAAGGTAGGGGTAAGACATAACAACATGTAGCAAAAAATAAGAATCCATAAAGTGGGGTGTGGGGAGGGTACAGTGTACACAAGACCTTACCCCTACCTCAAAAGTTAGAGAAGTTGTTTCCGATAGATCCTAGACTCAAAGAACAACAATCCAAAGCAGTCCCAAACATGAAGTAATGGAAGTACAAGAAACAATAGATAGAAATATAACAGAAACTACAACAGTACACTGTAGAGTTCATGGAGTAATATACTAGATCATCTAAACTATTTACAGCTGAATTCATCTCAAGTAAACATCAGACTTCAGAGAACTGTAAGATAGATATCCACAGATAAGATTGGGCTCATCTAGTGCTAGTAGCCTGCTCACTGTGCTGACTTTAGTTCTAGTTCTAGATCTGTTAAATGAAAAGCAAGTGGTGAATCCACTGAATTAGTTAGCAATATTATCTTTAACATTTGGAACAATTAAGTTATAAAACATGCTATATATATCCTTTAGTCACTTTTATCTGATAAGAAGATCTCTGAGGTATTCTTTATCAGTTAGATGAAGTCTATCTTTCAAAACATCAGAATTGTCAACACTTGTTCAACGAAATAGAATTAGTCACTGTAGAAGTATAAAGATGCAGTTAATCAGTAATTGGAAAGTAAGTCTAGGGAGTCCGTTTGGAAATACTTGAACGTAATATTTGTAAGCAAGTCACATATAGTAATACATACGCTCGTTCCTGCCAATGGAAGTTCAAGAAAAACTACTTGGAAAACTGAAATGTTCATTTAAGTTAAATCATTCCAAGACATGCATAGTTTGAAAAATACTGTGTAAGTTATGGAAATACTGGATATGTATACATTTCTAATCATAAGATAGCTCATGGATATGTAACTTACCATCTAAATATGATGTCTCTTGATTAGGTATATAGCTCAGATCTGTATTTCACTATTGAAAGGGATGACAGGAACAAGGTTTGTTGGCTGGAGTGTAAGGTTCGACTGATCAATATAAGCTGATTGATCAGCATTTATATTTGGAAGTTCATGATATTGAATAATCTTCAAGATCTCTTCGGTTTTACCAACTAATAAAGCTGCTCTGTGCACATTTTTTTCCCTATCCTCAATGGCACCAGAATTACAAGCCATAGTTATAGCTCGTGGCAGATTGGTAAAGCAAGCACTTAGTATATCTGCTATTGTAATGGATAATCTCTCAAATAGTTTTTCATGGACCGTGCCATTGTGTCCTTCACTATGCAGCAACAGCAAGATGGCTTTCCCAATTTTGTACATTGAGTTGGCAGCTATTATTCTGACTGGCCAGTTGAGAGGGTTGTCAAGAATTCTCCCATCAGTGGTTTGTTTGAAATCCATCACCTTCTTTGAAGCTATTCCTGTTAGCATCTCAAGTGTTTCCCTAGGAGTTTTTCCTTCGAGGGTCGGTTTCTGCAAGTCTTCATCCAACCATTTTTGATGGATCTCCAGTTCTTCCCACACTATATGTGCTGCATTTCTAATGTTTGTGAACTCACCTTCAGGGTACATAGTTTCCTCTATGAAGCTGGCGTAGGTAAGACCTTCATGGACACTCCTTATCAGCTGATAGTCCATCTGATCTCTCACTTTGGGAAGTGCGACAGTAATGCTAGTGAGTGTCACTAGGCTTATGGTCCAGCAGTTTGAAGGTTCTACTGAATGCAGTACTGGAACTTGGTGGCAGTAAATATCTGCCACCCCAGAAAAGCTGCTAGATTTTCTTAGCAAATTAACGAGTTGAGTTGGCTGTCGTTTCCTTCCTGTGTCTACAAGTCGGCTTGCATTACCAGATATGTTCTTAAAGATTCTTTCAGGAAGTTCCTCTTCGCCTTCAAGTAACAGAACATAATGGTGCAATTCAGTCTCTCTCATGTGTTCTGGTTCTGATTGATGATAGTTTGGGCCCTGAAGTTGACACAAAAACATCAAGTTGAAGGAAACAACTGAGACAAACCGCACAAATTTGCTCATTGAGACAACCAGAATCTGACTTCTTATGCTGAAGGCAAGAATTAAGTTTCTTGTACCTTGGAGATATTTTCTAAATTTTGTTCCCCTGATGTTTAAAGACAATGGTTTCTCCTTCCACTCAACCAGCTTGCGGATCCAGTAGTCTTCGACTTTAAAGAAATTAGCATTGGCATTGCCTGTTTTGTTGGAACGCTTAAAGCTTATACAGATAAACCATCTGAGGGCCGGAGCAACAGTACCCACTACCACCCCAATAGACTGAACAATAAGAATTACGCTTGTTGTCCATTCGTATGTTGAACTATTTGGGAAATATGGAGGTGAATTGTATATTCTTATAAGAGCTTCCATCAAAATTAGAGATGCCAACACACAGATTGTCCCGGAAGTCGAAAAGGTTACAGAACGTGCCATCACAAATTGAGGGTTACTAGTTTCGACCATCATCCAGCACTTCTCCACCGTGTCTCTCAGTCTATCGATGGACAACCTTCCGAATGCTAGTGCATCATTCCTCAAGGTAATTTGATATGCTTCTTTATAGTTAAGTTCAAGAATTTTTTTGGTAGTTGCAAGTGTTAAAGAGGAGAAACTCAGTACCAATATCAGAAGAAACATGAGGAATATAGTTGCTATAAATTCAGGTTTCAGGTTAACAATCAAACCAGTATGCATCTCAATGAATAAATTGACAATGATTGTGATTACCAGGATGTCCAGAGCTACAACGTTCGACAAAATTTCTTTGTTACTCATGGCTCCTATTGATGGCATGAAGTTACCTATAACAACACACATGAAAACAGTACTGGCTAGTTTGGAAAGCTGGTCAGTATGGCCTGGCATCGGTTCAGATATCTCGACAGGCAACTTCATTGCTACAGCTAACACTGTAAGAGAAGCAGCATTCAGCGCAAAGAATTTGCATGGGAACCAAAGTCTCTTCACGCGGAAGGCTTGGAAAGCATCAGCAGCCATAGCAAGGATACAAAGTAGAGATGCTGCTGCTACATAGATACCGATCATTGGCATTGGGCTACTGAACGATTCGTTGTAGCATCTTTTGTTACACGCCTTGGTGATCATATGACAATAAGGATTATCACACGACGCCTCATTCATGTTCACCATGACTCCTGTTTCCCTTGTGGGTGCTAACTTCAGGACTCAGGAGCAAGAATGTGAAGAGCTACATCAAATGGTTTATCTGTATTTTTAGCCTTGTGATTTGAAACCAACATGGAAGGATGACTGAGCTTTCAATTGCATTGAATGATTGACAATTTGATGTAAACTGACAATAGACTTTTCCACAAAGAGAGCGCCACAAATCACTATGTTCAGTGTTTTCCCTATGCCTTCCTTTTAATTAATGATGGTTAGTCTGATTTTGACTTGACGCGGAATTTAAAATAGTAAAGAAAGACTTTTATATCTTGCGATCTTAAACCAAAAATATGTGTTTTAATTTTTGTAATCTTAAAAATACCGTCCAAAAAGTTATTATCTAAAAGGTAAAAAAATACATTCTTTTTTAAATGGACTATAAATAAATTAAATCAGGGTGAGTACAAGGATACTAAAGATCAAGTCTTTCAACATCTGATGTGACATTTACCGGGAAATTTCTATGTCAAATGGGACACGACTAGTGGAAATCTGTTAATCATCTCAAATTTGAGCTGATTTTCGTGCCAAATAAAAATAGGTCACTCTTTTTTAAACGAAACAAGTATTATTGTTATTATTATTATTTCATTGCTACTAAAAAATAAAAATAAAGGTGAAGTAAATTATTTAGGCACCTTTTTCAGTTTAAAATCTTGAGCTAAAAAATTACAGAAAGGCCAAAGAGGGAAATGACGACGAGGAGCAATTTCTACAAGAACCCTTCTTATGCATACAATAAAGCGTTTAATCTCAATTCTGCTATTCAAAATCTTCAAGGTTTCAATTCTTATTCAACGTTTCGGTTTTTGAATTATCTTCAGTTTGATTCGTTTTTTTCTCTTTTCCAGCTTATAATGCAGTCACCGGTAACGGTCCGCCTCCGGTGGAGACGAATTCCGTCGAAGAAAAAACCAGCCACAGGAAACGCCGACGGGAACGGAAATCTAAGGTGCAGCAGAACAATGAAGTGGAAGTTATTGATTTGCCTATGTCTCATCAGGATTATATTGAAAAAAGGAGGTGATTTTAGTTTTAATTTCAAATTAGCAAGTAGATTTTACTGTTCACTTCAATAAGCTAGGTTGTGCAGGAAGGAAAAAGTAACTTATGAAATCTGGAGTTGTGAGTTGATCATTTTGTATATGAAATGCAGGAAGGAGGGTAGTTCAACTCAGCCTTATGAAGAATTGACTGCAGAAGTGTTGGTAATTGGAACTGTTTGCTTTAATGTGTTCTGTACGTATGTTTAATATCATGTCAGTTATAGTTTAGTGATTGCTTGGGTTCTAATTCTGTTCCAGGAACCGTCAAGTTCAGCACTGCATTTGGTGGAGTACGACAGTAAGAGCTTCATTTGGCTTTTTTTCTTTTGGTTTTATTCTCGATGAATTAAAAAGGTTTAATTTTAGTTTGGGTATGCAATTGGTTATGGGTGTTGATCTGGACTCAAAGTATCCTTGCTTGTTTTAAGAATTCCATATTTTTGAGGGTTCCCATTATCTGAGTGTTATATAATTCATTTGGAAAAAGTTGTTTGACTTTTATCTTTTATATTTTGATGGTTCCTCTTACTGATGCTAAGAGCAAGGATTGGTGTACTGGATACTTTGGTGTCTATCATTTACATATACTTGCTAAATTGAACCTCTTTGACATTTCTCTGCACTTCCCTTGTTCATTTGCTAATTATGGTGCAGAGAAATATCAGTCATACTTGGCAAGTCTCTCTCTCTTTCTCATTTCTCTTTTTTTGTATATGTTTTATGTGTTCTAGGTACATATCACTCATCTACTTGT